GGAACTGTGGGATGGAAGCACGAGCATTCCCGTTAATTACCAGCAACACACATGATGCAGGTCAGTTTCTGAAACGGGAATTTCGGAAGGTTCGCGGAAGGCACGGTGCAAATTCAAGCCCATTGCAAAGCGTTGCAACTGCAAACGACTGCTACTACGGCTGGGGTTATCTCACAGCGGCTGGTTTTTTCCCATCGACCAGCGTCCACACTGGGGGAGCCAGTTCAAAAGCACTTACTAGAATAGACAGAATAGATGATATAGATGTCATGCAAAAGCAATTACTGCAATTGTGCCGTTTTTACAGCGTCCACAGGGTTGCAGCTCATGATGCGGCATGTCGGTACGGCATCGCGTATGTTGCATGCTGTGTCTAACTCCAGAAATACTAGATATGATACATTGTCACATCCATGTATCTCTTTGCAACTCAAGGAAGGCCACCTGTTCTTACGTCGCTTGTTCGAAAACCGCCTCGGGCGCCGTATTTTGACATAAAAACCTCCGCTTTGCATTGTGCCATGGGTAGCATCAAGCTCATGTGAGTTTGTTTGCGTTGGAATTCTCGTCCCTGAGCTGGCGGAGACTACCCTTTCCAACAACGGCTGTCAGGCATGCCAAATGTCTATGACTATCTATGACTTGAAAGGATTCTGCATGTTACTGAAGTCTACAAAGTGTCAAGGCGCGCCTCAACTGGTGGATGGCCACCCTTCTGAACGTGCTCGTCGGCTCAGCCTGCCTCTTTGGCGCCATCTTCGCGTTCTACTTGGACACCAGTGCAGTAGTGGAAGGTGCCATCCTGGCTGCTGGTGGCGGAGTCTTCCTCTTTGTGGCCCTCACCGAGCTGGGACCCCACGTATCGCACGTCCGCAAAGCCTCCAGGGCTCCCTTCCTCAGTGGGCTTGGCACTGCCCTTGCATTCGTCTTTGGCACGTGCACAATGGGCTTGGTGCTATTGAACCACCAGCATTGCCTGGCACCCGCTGTGGAAGGTGCTGACCCCCATGCAGGCCATGATCATGGGCAGGGCCATGGGCATGGCCATGGGCATTAGTGAAAACATGCAGCGATGTTCTGTCGAGCCGCAGTTGACCCATGCGTCTTGAAAGGACTGTGCGCAGTCCTGCGCGGCAGAGTGTCCAAGTCCCCCAAGATTGGAGGTTGTTTGCAGGTGTACAGGGAAAATACCCAGCCGTGGTTGGCACTCAAAGACCTGGTGTTAGAGATGTGAGATTGCTTGTGATCTGGATCTTTAGGAATGTTTTGGGTTGGTTGAAGCCCCAGGCTGGGTACAGAGGGGTGACAATTCGGAGCTGCAGACATGGATCCTTTCATTGCCTTTGGAGTCCTCGACCCCAAGCTAACTCAGTGAAAGAACTCGTATTCCGTCTATTGAAGCCTGTCGCAGAAGCACACCGTGCATTTTCAAACGTTAAGGGAGCTAGAGGCTGGAGGCCTCGGAGAGTTCCGAGTGAATGCTTGTCAGTTTGCATGTCTCGCGAAGCAGATTTTGAACTCTCGGCCGTAACCGATGCACAATGCTCGGTTGGGTGGCATGAAAGCTGTGGTGCGGCCAGCGCGCCCAGAAGAAGGCGGGCTTTCGCGCAGTGTACAGTATGCGTCAGGCACTGTTTTACCCAACCAAGGCAGCTTGTTCTGGCGCAGCGCAGCTGGGTTTTGAAATTTGCAGAGCTGCGGAACGTCGAAGAGTCTTGGGAAGCACTCCTGACCCTCCTTGTAAATCTTCTTGCAGGGGGGCGGCACGTCTTTCTTATTAACTGCCCCAGGTTTGCTTCCACACCTGAACTTCCTTCCGCAGATGACTAATCCTGAGGAGAGCAAGAAAAACACCAGTGCGTGGAATGCATAGCGGTATAGCTGTCTGCTCGTTAGCTCGATGTACCTTGCAGCGCAAGCTGCGCTCGTTGCTTTCTTGTTCGCTCTCCCCATACTTGTGATTTGATTTTGCTTGGTGCGCTGGGCGTGTATTCTGCCAGGAGTGCGTGATGGCATCATTCACCAGAAACATCCAGGATTCGTTTTCGCTCATGCCAGCTCCGCGTCCCGGACATGTCAAAGCAGACCATGTTGCCAGCACGGCCTAATAGTTAGTCAGTAGTTAGTCTAAAGCTCGAGACGAGATCTTGTCTTTGTCTTAGGTCCTCAACACTGGTGGTCCGCGCGCCTGGCTGACTTCAGCACGCTGGTTGGAGGGAGTTAAAATGCTGGATTTGCTTTAGCGGGTTCCCCCGCACAACTGAAAGAATTTGCCACTCTCTTGAAGAGGGGACCCGGGACCACGCCCTAAGTTCGACATGTTTGATTCACAACACAATTCAATCCCATAAAGGCACGAATGTTGGTCGTGGTGCTGGAGCCAAGCTGGAGCAACCGTTCGTTTCATAGCAATGTGGGTATTGGTCTCAGCATTGGACCTTCCATACCTTCCAGGATTTGGGGAGGGGTATCTGTTATTAGGGGCATTTACTGTAGCTAGAGGGGAGAGAAATAATTCAGAGATTCAATGTGGACGCCGAAGGCTCATTGTCCTGAAATGAAGTCCCGACTCCTTTAGCAGTAGCATTAAAGAGGGATAGGCGGGTCAATGGTCGATCGCTGCTTTTGCCGTCTTCTCCGGGCTTCACTTGGTGTATGGAACCGCCAAATGCTTATGATTGCTTATGTATTGTACCAATGTGCACATGAACGGTGCGCCTTGAGCATCAAAAGGAGTCCCCCTGGGCGCATGTTCCGTCATTCCTGTCTCTTGAGCTCCTTGCAGGTTTTCATATGTTTTCCCATCCACCAGCATGTTTGTTGATCCTCTCGCATATAACTATTTCGCTCAGGTTAAAAGCCTGCTCCCATCAAACGTGAAATGGGGCATTTTTCCGCTCATGCTTTCTGCCATAATTCTGTAACAAAAAGACAAAGATTTATCAAACACGTGCACACACACAGTCGAGGAAGCGTGGAGAAATACCAAATCTCAGCCTTCACAGGCTCAGCTGCAATCTCATACGCATCATGAAGGCGTACACATGCATGGCATGCTTACCAGACGTAGCCGGTGCAATCCCCTCAAGACCCCGTTGTCGAATGCCACGTTTTCGCTGCTGTATGCCAGTGTCATTTATCGGCATGGCCTCGTGTAGAGGTAGATGTGGGAATGAATAGCATGTCCCTGAAATACTATTCCCCGCACTCATTGTCCAAATTCTCAGACGCGGGATCCTAAGACCCTCGTTGTGGTTATGAGTATAGGGTTGGCCAGTGGCTTGCAAGGGCGATAACACTAGAAGCCTGAGACCCAAAGCAGACGGCATTCTGCCCGTCAAAGCGATGTCCCGCGTCTAGTCGGATAGCGATGGAGGCCTTGGAACATTCAGCAGGATTAGCCCAACACCTGGTCCACCCAAAATGCCGAAATATGCAAAGGGCTCTATGAGGATGATGCCTCCAGAAGTAGAACCAAGAGGTGTAGTAGTTGGTAGTGTTCGTTGAGTTCATGTCGTGTTCTGCGCAGATCTGTGCAGGTGAGGAGCCGGAAGAGAGCTTTTGGGGCAGCCGGAGCTGCAGCCGGAGCTGCAGCTGGAGCTGCTTTGCTGCTTCGGGCTTCGATTCTCCAAAGGAGGCTTTGACGCGCAGCCACGTGGTTGTCATCGGTATTGCCCATGACTCCCACCGCAAGTTCAAGTCGCAAGTTGAAGCCTAGATGCTTCGGACTGCCGGGCGCAGGTCTAGCTTAGCCCACATGCCTTATTGACCCAAGCCGTTAGTTTGCAGCAGCTGCAAGTGTGACTTGCAGAGACTTCACGAATCTCAGGACTTCTCCACGTCAAATTACTGATGCCCACCTTCACCTTTTGCTACCCATGTCTCCGAGACGAAACATATAGTGTCGGCATTCAAAACATGTCTGCGTGTTGCAAGTTGTGTCGGCCATTCGCAAGATCACCACAACCTCGCTGGCAAGACACACAAAACAGCATACCAAACACGATGTTCTGAAGGAAGGCTTCAGGTCGGCATAATGCCTGCATGGCCCAGCGGCCTTCTGAGCGCTGTCATGGCCCACCTCTTAGCAAGCCGGTATTCATGTGGCCATTGCACTTGGGTCTGGATGATCCACTTACTGCCTAACAGGCACGTTTAGCTGCCTGCAATGTATGGCAACCTGTCACTTCCTGAGCATTTGCTCTTTTGGGTGTAGGAGAGTAGCGGTGACCTGCGCCTTCACAGCTTCACACAGGCGGCTGGAAGTGCGTTTTGCCCCCACGTGTCTCAGATGCGCTTGCCGCATTAGATCTTGGGCCCGCGTCGTTGAAGCAGGTTACAGTGACTACAGCCTTTGACCTGCCAGGTGGCGCTGCGTAGCACTGCTGGCTGAGCAGTGGACATGGCGGAGTCGCAACGCGCACAAGTCTTCATGTGCAAAGGATGGCGCCAGCTTGCTGCGTGACTTCCCTGCATGAGCTCTGCCATGTTGCGCAAGTTTAGCTTAGCCAACCTCTCGTAGTGACCCAGGGAGTCAGGTTGCCACACCATATCCTTCCCCTTCGTTTCATGAGCCCTCAACTTTGCTAAGTTGTGGCAGTTGCAGATGTGGAACGCCCGCGGAGACTTGACTGACCTCGGTTCTGTTGACCAGAGATTCCTGACCTCCAGCTTTTGCTGCGACCTCTCCTTGCTGCCCATGTCACCCGGACAAAACATATCGGCATTCAACCCGCCTCCGCTCAATGTTGCAAAGTCTGATAGCCACCCACAAAAGAACGCTAGGGCCGGTAACATGTTGAAGTCTTGTGAATGCCCGCTGCCATAAGACCTGGTAGACGCACATGCGCGGTCCTGCTACGGCCTACAGTGAAAAGGCACAGGTCCGGATTGTGGTTTGTGGGACGGGGACTGCCGCACGCATACCTTAACTCAAATATCGGTTGAAGTACACCTGTTAAAATGGCAAAACAGCTGCAGCTTGCAGCTTGGCATTTCCACAGACTTAACGTTGGATTGGTTGGTCAACCACTCAACTGGCAAAGGCTGGGCTTACTGCTAGGTGCAGGGCAGCAGGCATTGTAGCTTTGTGGCTGTACTTCTTGTCCGTTCATATGCTTAACAGACTCAAGGGGGCATGACGGACTAACACGCACTGCGCTAGCAAATCAGCATGTACCTTGCTGTACAGCAATGCATGCATGACATGAAGGCGCAAAGTTGCCGGCTGAGGCGGTAACTTAGCCTGCTGGCCCTCCACGGCTTGACAGCTTATGAGAATCGCCTATAGACAACCCTCTCGCGCAATCTGCAGGACTGTGAGGCCCACTCTCAAGCATCTCGTGTGCCCAAATTGCGTATGGAGAAGGCTGAAAAGTGAGATGGAATGAGAGGGCCGCCGCCAGTACCACGGTTTCAACACTGCATTTGCTCATTGTCTTTACCTGCGTACTTCTGTCCAGTGCGCGGCGTGATGTAACCATTCGTGTCGTGACTTCTGCCATGCCTCTGCTTGTGTGGGGCCAGAGAGTACATGAGTGCTATGGCTCTGTTGTCTTAAAGCTTCGGGCCTCGCGGTTTGGTAGAAGTCAATGATTCCCTGCTATTCCCTGCTGTTATCAGACTTTGAGATCTAGTGAATCTAGTAGCCGCCTCCACGCAATGATGTGGGACCAACCTATTGTTGATGGAGGAAATCTTGAGGCACCGTATTCATCCCTTAACTACAGTAATTAGGATACCTTCAGTCCTCAAGTGGTGCCAGACTTCTTCTGTCTTTTTGAGGGGGTCAGGCGTTGAGGTGCAGATGGTGCAAAATTTTCAAAGAACCCGCGAGCTCAGAGCGAGGAACTGTCACTTGCACTCACTCGCAGCACTGCTACGTGCAGTAGCCGAGAGATGCCGAGAGGGCAGTTTTTGTTGAGCAAGAAGAAGACGTCTCGCTTCTGAAGCAAAATTGCGGGGCAGCCTCAGGCTTTCCCTGCCTGAGAAGGAGAAGGCCCCATCGGTTGTGCAACGGCCATAGTTGCCAGCATTTAAGCTCTCTCCCACGATCAT